ATACTGATCCAGTAGCTACCCTTCATAATACAAACCCTCAAAAGACATCACTGCAGGTATAATAGGCCAAATAACAAAGACGAAGAGAGTATGTGACACTACTCAGAACTCGCACATCCACAGAAATGGATTTAACATTCAGAGACCATTTCAGACCTAACTTTCTAGCTCACAAGAGAGAATGCAGACTTCACCCTGTATGGACAAAAAACAGTATCTTCAGACAGAATGTGGAATTTTGGACTTCAGTTTTCTCTTCACACTAAACAAATTGTAGAAACACAAATCCAAAAATAGGTTAAAGTGATGATTACGGTCTTTCTTCTTTCCATTAAAAATCACTTTAAGCTTTTCTTATCAACTTAATTATTTTCATGCACATGGATTGAATCTTAACAAGCTCTTAATTGCTAGTTGCCCTGTTGCCCTCTCAGCACTAGCTTTCCCAGTGCCACCCATGTTCCATGTGGCTTTGTGCTCTGTGACACCGCCATCTGCCTCAGGCTTGGTGTCTGGCCCAACAAGCACCTTCTTGAAAACCTAACATAACTGTCTTTTTCCTGTGCCATGGGCTTCACCTCACCATATCTAATGGGAGCTCTGGCCTGGACTCTAGGAATGTTGTTCCAGATAGGCCTGGCGGGTCTCACTGCCCATTAACATGACCCTTCCTTGCTGGGAAGCCAGAACACCGTGTCTTCCTGGCACGCTCACGTCCTGCCAGCTCGGGAAACAAAACCCTTAGTCTAGCATGAGAAATCTGTTTTTTTCTCCATGGCCAGAAAACCTTCAGTTTTTGGTATTCAATAAAGACTACCCTTCTAAAATGTGCTTACCCTGAACATCAATAAACTCTTTGATAAAGAAGTCTTGTTATAACATGCAAAGCTGTAGGTAAAAAAAATAATAATAAAAAAATAAAAATGAAAGTCCCCTCTCACCTTAGAATATATCAAGCCCTATCAGAAGGCCAAGAAATTAAAATATGTTGAATAAATTTAAGCTTTATAGCAAATACCCTGTGAAAGAACCTAATTAAAGCTTTAAAAAATCTAAAAGGATAATCCATTTCATAATTTTTAGGCATGACAGGACATAGAACTATAATTATGGGAAATATACCCAAGATGCTTTCTGTTCAAAAAATTCAAAGATTCTTCTGAACTAACTGGATAACTAACTGGGCCCTTTTTCTGTTTTCAGACTCTCTCTGGATGGACCACTGTTTCCTATGGTATCAAGTGCTTCACATGTGGTGATGACTAACAAATCCTTGCCTTCAGCCCAGGCCTTGTTCCCAAGCTCTAAGCTGATATGGCTGCCCTTTGTGTCTACGTGGGATCATCATTCCCCACTCCCATTCTGCCCCTCCTTTTATATCTTATTTCATTAAATGTCCACACCACCCACCTGGCAGTAACTTCCTGACCTTTCCCTCTTCTCAGCTCTTAGTCAATCTTTAGAGCCTATGGATTCAGCTTGTTTACTGTCACTCAAACACACCCACTCTCTATCCCTACTTCTACCTAAGCTCAGACACTCATCATTTCTCAGGTGAAGAATGGCCTCTAGATGGTCTTTGTCTCTTCCCAAGAATTGCCCCCATCCAATCCATTCTTCATAGACAGAAGGACCATTCTAAAAGCCAAAGTCGACCACACCCTTCTGCTGCTTAAAATGTCCTAGTTGAAATCAAAATCCTTTGTGATCTATTTCCTGCCCGTCCCTGCAAACACATCTTTTGCCTTTTATTTTTTTCTCTGCACTGGACCTGGGCCTAGAGGAATCCTCGAATATTTACTCTGCCTTCTCCATGCCTTTGCACCTGCTATTACTCTCTGCACAGAATACTTTTCCTCACACTCTCCTTCTAGCCAATTTCTGCATATTCTCAAAACTCTTCTTTCTCCAGGAAGTTTCCTCAACTTTCTATCAGGCTAATTACTCCTTCTAGGTATTCCTATAGCAGATATAGTCCTAGTACTTATAAAATATTGCAACTGCATTCTCCTTTCTTTTCCCACTGAACTGGAGATCCTTGGATGCTGGATAGTCCTTGGTGTAAGGGCCTGTTTTTCCATCTCTTATTTCTGAGGATCATACAATAACACCAGGTCTGCCTGTTGTATGTTCTCCATAAAGTTCTGTGAATTGAATAAGTCAAATGCTCTAGAATGAGGTCATATGTTCCTATGCAACTTCTTTCTGGAAGCCAGGGCAAATGAAGGCTACAACGAAGTAGCTACTGCTGAAGTCAGAGGCACTGAATCAGATTTTTAAGGTGCTAGTCAGTTAGGCCTTATTATAGGAATGTGTCTCTTATGAAGACAAAGAGGAAAGTCTTGGCAATTGCCAACTTCAGCTGGCAGTCTCTAGGGAAGAAGACAGTTATGTGGGAGAGAGCCTGACCCTCTGCACCTGCAGACAGAAACTCACAGGCATGTGCCTATGGATATAAGCAGGATTACAAACCTCAATCTGGTTTGTCACCAATAAACAAAAAGTAGATCTTTCTTTGATTGTTTCAAGTTCTATAAATTCTTAATGTGAGAATAAATAGTAAAATCCTACAGTTCTTATCAAACTTATCCTTCAATTTAGTATTTTTTACAAATGAGTTTTAAAAAAGAACTTCATCCTGACTTGAAAATGCCATGTTAAGGGCTACACAAATAACATCAGTATCTTTCCTTTTGTATCTGCCAATCTTCTGGTGAAAAGCTGCCTCCCTGGATCCTATCTGTTTTGTTTTCTCCCCAGATCTCTTCAGTCCATGCCATGCTGACATGTTTTACTGCTGTGTCTCTCCACTGCACATATTATCTATTGTTATTAAACACATATTACCCACTGCATGTTATCTACATGCTGTGTTTCTCCACTGTACATATTATCTACTGCTATTTAACCATGCAGCCATTTCCATTCAATTATGGAAAACTCTGGAAACAGTCTGTAGTAAGAGAAGGCTTGGCTTTTGACTTAATGGTCCAATAGAAATCTAAACAGCCCACAACTGGGCAACAGATGTGGGCATAGGCAGCTTATTGATTGTGTAACCAAAGGGAAAAGAGGGTAAAAGTTTTACCTTAAAATGCCCTGTTGGCTTTGCAAACAGTTTCTCTACCCTAACAGGGACTGCCTATGGTTTGAAACTGGCCCTGGGATAGGAACTATGAATATGAGCAAACCAGTTGTTTAATGACTTGCTAGGTGACTCTCAGCCACTCCTCCAACATCTGTCTCTAGTAAAAGTATGCTTATCAGGAAATGCAATTCTGTTGCTGATATTTTCTATTTTAAAAGTGTGGAACTTTATCAATGTTTTAAGCTTTCAAAGTTGAATGTGAATAGATGTGCTTTGATTAGAAACTCTAAATCATGCTTCTAAAACTCCAGTTCATAAAAAAGAAAATGCGGTTTGACAGATTGAGTATATTTTCCTTCAAAGCTGCTATTTCTCTGGCCAGCCTTCTTTCAGTAGGCACATCCACCGTCTTTTTCTCATTGATGCACTAACCTTGCAGGTCACTTCCAGTTTCTCCCTCTCCAGGTCCTCCCATCAGTTATGCAATAGCCAAGATGTATAGATTCAGCTTTTGCTATGCCTATCCTCTCCATCTATTTCTCTGAATTTGCGTGCTACTATCTGAGCTCTTGTTCACCTGATATATTGAGCCTGCTCAGATTAGTAAAATAATACCCTGATGTTCTCACTGCCGACTCACCCAACATCACTGCTAACTTACCTGAAACGTATCTCTCAAATCATGTCATTCCCTGCTCAAAAATTTTCAAGGGAGTGCCACTGCTTACTAAATCAATTCCATATCACCATGTTTTCATTCTACCTTTTTTTGCACTATATATATATATATATATATATATATATATATATATTATATATATTATATATATATATATATATATATATATATATATTTTTTTGAGATGGAGTTTCACTCTCCTTACCCAGGCTGTAGTGCAATGGTGCAATCTTGGCTTACTGCAACTTCTGCCTCCCAGGTTCAAGCGATTCTCCTACCTCAGCCTCCCGAGTAGCTGGGATTACAGGTGTGTGCCACCATGCCCAGCTAATTTTTGTATTTTTAGTAGAGGTAGGGTTTCACCGTGTTGGCTAGGATGGACTTGAACTCCTGACCTCAGGTGATCCACCCACCTCCGCTTCCTAAAGTGCTGGAATTACAGGCATGAGACACCGCACCTGGCCTATATGTCGTTATTTTGAACTATGGGTAAACCATGTGTGCACATTGGCTGCTCTTTCATCACAGTCTTTATGCAGTCCTTCCTCTGTGCTATTGCTTATGATGCTGCTTTGCCCCAAGCTACCTGATTTGAATCCTGGTTCCACTATTTACTAGCTTTGTGCCTTTTCTTTCTCACTTACAATATGAGGATTATAATATCACCTACCTTATAGGGTTTTGTAACAATTACAGGAGGAAATACAATCTAATGTCCTTAGAAGAGCCCCTGCATGTAGTAAATATTTAGCTAATGTTAGTAATCACGTTTTATTTCTTTCAAGGACCATTTCAAATCCATGTCTTGATGGAAGCCTTTTATATCACCCAACTCAATGTAATTTCTTCCTCTTTTTATACTTCGTTGAATAATATTTAACATGTAATGTCTTGCCTCAGCTTAGTGTGTGCATTTATTTTGGCTTTCACTGGATTGTAAACTGATTAACACTGAGTAAACTTCATTCATGATTATACTCTCTGAAGGATCTTATATAGCACCTGGCATATCAAAATAACTTAGCAAATGCTGGCTAAATGGAAATCAATTGATTTTACTAATTTTAAAGTGGTTTTCCACAAGGTGAAAGAAAAACACAGTGCATAAAGATAAGTAAATGAAATGGACAGCTTTATAACATGGATGTGACTGGTGAAAGACACGGAGACTGATGTCATTTGAATGCACAACTTGCGCTGATAACATCCTTTTCTCTGTGTTTTCCATTGCAGGTCTGCTTAGTGGCCTATCTTGGCTTGTTTATGCTTTGTTTCTCATATCAGGTTGATGAACGGACATGTATTCAGTTTTCTATGAAGGTAAGTTGTGATTGTTCTTTCTCTTTTATTGTCACTTAGAAAGAAACCCAAGTACAAAATAAAGGAGTGCCTTCTTAAGGGATTGCATATCTGATTAGTTAAGAAATTGCATTTTTAGGCAGGCCAAAAAATGTTTTAAGAGGGCATTGATCCAGACTTCAAAGGTAATGCTGATTTTTTTTAAGTCTTAATTTCCATGAACTGGGTTGGCCTGGAGGATCTGAAGTCTGTCCTTCAATGCCCTTAAAAGGAATGTTGAAAATTCATCAGTTCAACAAAACACTTGGCCAGAAAAAAAGGTGTCTCTTTCAGTGCCCACTTCCGTATCTCGGGGGTTATTTGGAATATTTTAATAATGAAACAGTCTAAGTGTATTTCCCCTTGTAGGTGGGATCACTGAGACAGAAAAAGTACATTGGGTGCATCCAAATGCTCTGTGCCAAGAGTCTCAGGGCAAAGTGGGGGGGACGGGCGGTGGGATGTGCATGGTTTGGCAAACGTGTGTGTCTTTTATTTGTGTGTATCTTTTCTCTGTTAGGGACAGTGCATTTGGTTGGAGCCAATTCAAGTACACAGCATTTTCAGTGCACAATAGAATCTACTCCAAAGGGAAGCAAAACACTCCTTTTCAGGGTGTATGGACATAGACACAGAGCTTAGCAATCAGACCTAATAGAAATCAAATTCCTTCATTTTCTCTCAGCCACTGTAGCAAAGAATAAAAAGCTTTCTTTAATCTTTTTTTTTTTTAATTTGGTCCGCTCATATTGTTTTTTCTTCTACAAGAAAACATATAAAAACTGGATTATTTGTTCACTACAATGAGAAAACATAAGACATAAGAGTAAGTGAATGATATTATTTGGAAGTTATTAAGATGAAAAAAATAAGATGTGTTGGAAGATTCTAGCATAATGAAGCTGTTGATATAAAAAAGCAATGGGATGATGTCCTTTAAAATCAAGTTATAAAAAGTAATGAATAGAATTAAAAAGGTTACATTATAATAACTAATTCTGAAAAGCTGGTTACACAGAATGTATGATATGATCCTACAGAAAAAATAAAAGCTCTTAATGAACATAGAAAATACAATTATCTACAAGTGGTGGGATTATATCTGCATTTTGCAGAGTCTCTAATTTTGAAATGTTCTCCAATAGTTAGACATAACGTTTCTAAGTAAAAAATTAATAGATGCTATTTTTTTTTAAAAAAAGATAAAGTTAGAATTTTGGTGGATAGGGCTTCATTTGGAAATTGTACTTTTCTGTCTTAGTACTTTCCTTAAAAGAAGGCCAGATACAGTAGACATCAGTCTACGTTTACTTTTTGTTGCAGAGGTTTGACTAAAGAGCAAGTCTCGGTGATTAAAAAGAAGAAGCCAGAAAGTTTAGTAAGAAATGGCCTGTTAAATTACAAGAACTTCATCTAGTAGCTGAAGAACACCAAAAACTATGTTTTTATTAGTTTATGTGAAATGCCCTCATTTCCCCCCCCCCCAACTATGATCTGGAAAACAGCAGAGGCAAAAGCTCAGCTTCAGAGATACTCCAGTGTCATCTCAACATCTGCACCATAGTTAAAATAGGGAGCAGGAGAAAAATAGACAAAAAAAAAAGTCACTGCCAATGTCAGCCAGGTTGAGGATTCCCCACTAGGAAGATCTCATTAGCTATCTCTTTTTTCCACCCGTGACAGGCATTGACAAGTACTGAGGCACTTTTCTCTTTTCCTGAATGTGACCTTCCTTGATGCTTGCTGCTAGCTCTCTAAGGTTGCATGCTACATTATCTTCAGGTTGAAAGTGAACTTCAGCCCATCTCCAGGTTTTCCAATGACACAGCAGGGGACAGCTGATTTCACTCATGCTTCTCACACTATTGGGGGACCGAGGCATAACTGGCATCTTCATAGGGCGTTTCTCACCAGCATAGGTGCGTTTTGGTGCCTCCATCTCGGCACCCTGGCCTAAGCTTTGTGTGAGGATTTATTTCCTCCTGTTGAATGCCCAGATAGTCAGGACAAGCAATCAGGCCATGTTGACCATCTCATTGTAGTCAGCACGCGTACACACACACACACACACACACACACACAGATGCACGCACGCACGCACACACACACCCTCCCTTTCTCTTACAGATAATAGCCACAGGCTCTTTTTTTTTTTTTTTTTTTTTTTTTTTTCCTCAAGGTGAGACAGCCCTCTGGGAGGGTCGGGGATTGAGAGCAGGAGGGTCCCTTTGCAGGCCCTCGATGCCACCAGCGCGTTCCTTTTTCCTCCCTGGGCTTTGCCTCTGGGCTTGGCTGGGCATCGGCTGCAAGTCGCGCTTCCTGCCTTTCCTCTGGCCTGACTTTCTCAGGGCTCCCCTGGAGGTTCGGAAACGTGTTGGGGGCATGTGCCTGAGGAAACATTCCGGGGCACGTTCCCTCCTGTCCACATCCGGGAGGCCCCTGGGCTGCTGCAGCAGCCTCCTCCCGAGCGGCGCGCTGCAGAGGGGCCCTTCCCGTTCAGGCCACCGGGGAAGGTAATTAAATTGGAGCAGAAACACCCTCCTCCCGAGGTCACCTAACGCGAAAGCTGCAGGCCGGGTACCAATTAGAGGCAGCGAGCGAGCGGAGACGCGCCCGGGCGCTGCTGTTACATAAACGCCCGGGGCCACCGCGCCTCCGCCCGCTGCGCAGCGCTGGGCTGATGGGCTGACACCCTCAAGACAGATGCCTCCCGCTCCGGGCTTTTATCAAGATATGTTTGCTCGGATTCCCAAGGTCATCGTAAACACTCTTCCTTATAGTTTATTCGTGCCGCGTAGGTAAAACAAGCCACTTGATTTTAAATTACAGATTCTAACCCAGAAGCTTGTTGCTGTCAGATGGGTTAAAAGCCATGAAAGAAAAATGCTACAGCGCTGCAGATGCAGCCTGCAGGCTTTAGGGGGAATCGAGTATATATTTATGTCTTAAAATGGATAAGAAACTTGATTCCGTGGCTTCCTCTAGTTTGCTTAGTCTGATGCTTTCCTGAGTGGGAGAAGCCGAGTCATTATGTGTGAGACAGATATGGACGATTAATTTTATTCATACTCAGAGAAACTAAGGAGCATGTTTTTTCTTTGTGTTCTCGTTGGGTTCTAGCATATTTGAACGGTTCAATTAAAATTGAGCAACCACTGTGTTTGTGTAAATGTCTACATCCTTCCTACAAGCCAAGAATGCATTGTTACTCCCACATGACAAAATAAGACAAAGGCAGTCGAATTGATATCCTCAGTCCTGAGAAGACAGCTCTTTCCATCCCTACTAATTTACTTATTATTTCACAAATACTTAAATAGTGCTCCTGTGTACCAGACGCTGCTCTAAGCTCCTTACAGACATCAGCTCTTTTGATCCTGGTAATTATCCTGTGAAGTAGGTGCTATTATGATCATCATGCCAAGTTTACAGATGAAGAAATACAGGTGTACAAGGATTGCTGAATTTGCCCAAGGACCATAGCTAGTGAGGGGAAAACCAGGATTCCAACCTAGGCAACCTGACTCCCTGGTTCATGCTCTTAATCATCAGCCGGTACTGCTATGCACTTGTTAAATGGTCTTGGGCACACCTTTTAATCTCTGAACCAAAAAGTCATCTTTTAAAAATAGACAAAATTCCCATTTTCAGCAAATGGATTTTTGTGACTATTATGAATTAGTAAAATCTTTTTCAACTATTTGAATTATTTGCAGATTGAGAATGAGAGATTATTGTCATTTCTTCAAGATATTGTCCCAACAAATGTTACAGAAAATTGCTATCTAAGGGGCTGGGTGCAGTGGCTCCCGTCTGTAATCCCAGCACTTTGGGAGGCTGAGTCAGGAGGATCACTTGAGGTCAGGAATTTGAGACCAGCCTGAGCAACATGTAAAAGCCTGTCTCTACCAAACAATACAAAAATTAGCTGGGTATGGTGGCGCACACCTGTAGTCCCAGTTACTCAGGAGGCTGAGGCATGAGAATTGCTTGAACCTGAGTGGCAGAAGTTGCAGTGAGCCTAGATAAAGCCACTGCACTGTGTCTCAAAAAAAAAAATTTGCTATCGAAGGATGTATGAATGTTAGAGGTAGGAAGGTTATCACAAGATGCCTGCCTCCCACTTTCATCCATTGATGTCAATAAAACAAGTAGAAAAAATTCCAATTAGGGTCATTCTACTAAACAGGTGACTACCAGGTGGGAAATGATCATTTTAACCTGGGCATCCATGCTGGTAAAGTCATAGATGTACCATTGTTCCCAGAGCAAACTGTTCCCAGTTCTCTGCCAGCTATACTGGGAACACAGCTTCAATGGGATACACACACACACACACACACACACACACACACACACACACACACACACAGAGAGAGAGAGAGCACAGCCAAGACAGTTTAATCTGGCTCTTGGCACCAAGAGTTTGAAGTCAGTAATCAAGCCTGGATATTTCAGAACAACTCAGAATTGTTCAAATACTCTGCCCCATTGGTCCTACAAAATAAATCCATATTTTTTAGCCTAAAACTCCAATTTTTGCATAAAATAGAGTCACTGGAAATATTGAGGGCCAGGTGCAGTGGTTCATGGCTCTAATCTCAATACTTTGGGAGGCTGAGTTGTGAGGATCACTTGAGGCTGGGAGTTCGAGACCAGCCTGGGCAACATAGCAAGACTCCATCTTTTACCAAAAAAAGTTTTATGATGGTGTCACTTTGTATTTATCTGGTTCCCTTCCTCCAAGGAGCACCAATATTGAGTATAATCCTTGTTATGTTCCTGAGATATAAGATATTTCTACAAACTTTTACAGATGAAGATACTTAGGTTACATCTGACAATCCTTTAAATGATTTGAAGAGGAAAAAGAATGTGTGTTTAAGATCTCTTTGATGAGAAGATCTAAAGAATCCATGTACTCCTTGGTTAAGATAGACTAGTTAAGATGTGTTAAGAAAAAAAATGGCTTTAACTAATTCTACTCTCTTCCAGTGATGTCAGTTATACAGTCAAGCTGTATGTAATCCCTGATGGATTCCCTTACAGGCAAACCAGACATAAGCTTAGGGCACCAGCAACCAGTATGTACACCCACAGCTACACACACATGCACACATACCACTCAAGAAAGAGAAAAAGTAAAAATTAAATACGGCGTTCCAAATTTAAGACTTAAAAATACTTGAAATCATCATTGTGTGGAAAACACTCATTTGGAGGACTTTTGTATGCATGCTTTATAGTGTCACATATATGTTTTGATTTTGAATTATATATACGGGTAGGTGGGGAAAGGCATCATCTTTGCAGAGCTACTTTCATCTGAACCTGGAAATAACTAGAACAAATATCACTTTGTGAAGTGCTCATTCACCAGAATTGTTCTCTGTAGAGAGCAACTTTTGACTGTGATAATATAATTTTTGCAGTAACAACTATGTATACTAGTCTCAAAAGCTGGGGACTCTGAGCCTTACCTAGAATCTCAGCAGGTGGACTATTAAGAGAAACATTCCTAGTAGGCGAGTCCAATCACAAAAATATTTCTTGTTTCATAAAATAGATTTTATTATGGCCATGTCAGTGAACACCCACAAGTTTTGCTCAGAATATTTCAGGTTTAAGTTAAATACCTGAATTGTTCAGAGTTCCCACAGCCCTTTAAGCAGCAAAGTAAGAACTTTAACCAGACTTTTTCAATCCCAAAGCTAACTTGGGGGACAACAGGGTTCAAATTCTTGGTGGCCGAGGAACCATTTAGAGTGGATTTTCATGCTCAGGAATCACATGGTTGTTGTTGGGCTTGGGGTAAGTTTCATAGGCGATGATGCTGACATCAAATCACTTGACTTCTGGAGTCATAATTTACTTCTCCCAGAAACCTCTTGCTGGGGATTCTCATGTTTATAGATACAGTTTGTCAATCACTACATTGAACATAGTCTTTAAAAAAAATTAACCTGTGTTACTTAGTTGACCCATCATTGCTAATTTTGGCCAACACAGTGTTTGCATTATACAGGATTACTTCCTAGTCTTGTTTCAGTCTTACTATCAGCAGTTCTTGAGTTCAAAATAAGCACAACATGTCATCCAGGGATGGCTAGCTTGTTTGGGATTTATCTAAACGGCTGGCAATATCTAGATGAAAACATCCCACAATCCAGCTAATATGGTTGTCACAACTCTTGAAAAGGGCCCAACATCTGGATGGCAAGTGAAAATGTGATCAGGGTTTAAGGACTACTAGCTAATAAATAAACATAGAACTATTTCCATGTCTTAGGTGCTGTGTTTCTGAGAAGAGAGAGCCTTTCCATCAGAAAATTTCTGGGAGAGAATAAAAAGAACAGTTTTGATGAATTAGCTTTGCAAATCATCACCCAGCGTTCTTTGTGACCAGAAAGGTTTTCTTTTGCTTTCTTGCAGCTGTTATACTTTCTGCTGAGTGCCCTTGGCCTGACAGTCTGTGTGCTGGCTGTGGCCTTTGTTGCCCACCACTATTTGCAGCTCACACAGTTTACCTGTGAGACCACACTCGACTCTTGCCAGTGCAAACTCCCCTCCTCGGAGCTGCTCAGCAGGACCTTTGTTTACCGGGATGTGACGGACTGTACCAGCGTCACTGGCACTTTCAAACTGTTCTTACTCATCCAGATGATTCTCAATTTGGTCTGCGGGCTTGTGTGCTTGTTGGCCTGCTTTGTGATGTGGAAACACAGGTACCAGGTCTTCTATGTGGGTGTCAGGATGTGCTCCCTAACAGCTTCCGAGGGGGCCCAGCAAAAGATATAACATTCTTGCTCAAAGTTGCAAGAGAAAATAGCACACGGATAGCTGAGGTTGAACAAAAGAATTTTCTAAACAAAGAAAGGAAAAAAATTGACAATAAACACCATTCACTGTTCTAAATGAATATTTTTATATTTTTATGAAACAGAGCATTTCTTCAGGTTTCTATTGTATTTTTTTAACATTCTTTCAGAGAAAGCAAGATCCAAATTGATTTTGGGATATTAAAAGAACACTGAACAAGGAAAGAATGGCATAGATCTATCCTTACAGTCTGGAGCTGATTCCTGTTATTCATTTTATCCATGACTTACATAATCTTCTTTCCTGCTAGTCCAGTTTGATGGTGTGAATGGTGAATTTCAGGCCCAGTTGCTAAATTTTGTGGCATCTTCCTTTGGTTCTCCCCACCTCCAGTCATCAGCCCCACTCTGTCTTGGAGACAGGCAGGAGGTGGGGGAAGGGCTGAATCTCTTTATTTCCCCTGGTAGAGATGTCTTTAAGGCATGAAATAGCTTAAAGAGCAGCGTAGAAACGGAAGAGGCTTTGCAAAAGGCTAGATAATTATAAACACCTGGGTTGGGGCGGCGGCCTCTTCTCTTCAGCTCCCTTAGCTTGGCTCTGTAAGTAGATCACTTGCTAAATGCTTTAGATGATTGCCTCTCAATAATTGAAAGGTGGTGGTAGTTGTATTCTTAATGATGTAGAAGGTTTAAAAATAATTACATTATGCTTCTATTCTATCATCTAAAACAAATCATTAAAACTAATTTCTAGCTAATTGTTAATTATAATTATGCTCAGAAGTCTATTTAATGAGCTCTGGCTGTACTTACGCTGCACTGTCAGTGTTAAGAGAAATTACTCTCACAAGAACAGAGGCCTAAAGATTCTTTCTTCTGAAAGCCAAGCACCACAAGGAAAAAAAAAATTTGTATTAATAGCGCAGGTTAAAAACACTCATTTAAACAAAAACAAGAGCATTTGTAATAGGAAGTGTTTATACAAATAGCACATTTGTGATATGTAGAAAAGTATCTCTCTTGGCAACCAATCTATGTTTGAGGAAGATTAGGTAATGCTGACGTGTTCCATTCAAGGGACTGTATTTGATACATAATCCTATTATTAATTCGTATGCTTAGTCAACCTAGAAAATCAAAATGATGTTTTGAAGTTCTTATTTGAGCAATATAGCCTTGACTTGGAGGGTAGTTCTAGTTGTTTTGTTTTTAAGTGACTATGACTTAAAGCACAAAGCCTCAAGGCCAGGAGACTTCTCTCTGTGATTATTGCTGTTACTACATTCTGAACTGTATCCATATTTTAAGGAACAAGCTAAAAATGGAAATTCATGAAACATAAATGGTATCAAGAACTTTTTCTATCAGCATGCTTTGTTGAAAGCAGAAATTAAGATAATAATTGAGTTCAATTCACCTCTCCACATTGCCTATGGATGTACTTTACTAATCATGAGATTCTACCCTAAAAGAAAAACATTTCTTGTTTGTCTTAGAAGAAAGTGGAATAATTCCATTGATTGTGATAATGGTGTCAGTTTCTACACAATATAAATATCCAAGTAAAAACGAAAGCATTAAGTCAGTAAGCTAGAGGATTGTAAGTATCTTTTATGTCCTCTAGATAAAACACCCAATTAACAGATGTTAAACCTTTTAATGTTTTGATTTGCTTTAAAAATGGCCTTCCTACACATTGGCTCCAGTCAAAAAGACATGTTGGAGAGCTTAGTGGGTAAGTCTCCAGAGGAGAACCGATCACACGCAGAAGTTACACCAACAGAATACCAAGCAGAATGAGGACTTGAAAAATATCTTTTTTTTTTTTAAAGCCAGCAACTGAATCCATTTTGATTTTTGTTAAGAGTTTCCTATACAAAGAAGAAAATGACTGAGAATCTAGAATGTCGTAGGCCATCCTTTAAAGAGTAAGTAGTAGCACTTTAATGCTGGTAACCGTGAATTGGGCACCACTGAAAGCACCTCCTGAATTTCTTTAGCAAAAACATTTTATAGTGAACACCACAAGTTTTTATATTTAAAAATTAAGACTGCATATCCTTAAGGTGCTCTATGCTTTACCAGTGAATCACAGGGTATTTCAAATGGTAGAATCATTTTAGCTTGTGTGCTTCCTTTTTCTAAATAATGCAACCAATAAGAGCTGACATTGTAATGAGCTTCATAATAGTATAACCATCAGGATATATATATTCATATATACTATACATATATAAAATGGGGATATTAATATTGTCTGATTAAATCGAAGTTCCCTGAAGAGAGAAAAAAATCATGTGAATAGAAAAAACTAAACAAAAAAGAAAGAAAAAGAAAGAGAAAGAAAGAAGAAAGAAAGAAGAGAAAGGAAGAATAAAGAGAAAGAAAAGATTCCATTGCTATGAGCTCGCTGTATATTGATATGTATAAGAATTGTGTTGCGTGAATAACTGCTTTGGGCTGGATTTGAAGTATTTTGATGTTGTGTTTTGCAAATATTGAAGTTACAATAATGGCAACAGAAAAGGAACAGATACACAGCTTTACACTTAGCAAAATGTTACATTTAAAATCTGACAAGGAGCCAAGATGGTGACTGTCTCCTCTAAACCATGAAAGAGTAAGATTTGCACAACCCTCCTCTTCTTCCACCTCCTTCAAGAGAATTAAATGAATCAAGACTTTGGAAAGACGGGGAAGAACCAGGACTTGGCAGTACTTGAAATAGGAGGATACAGCAGCCTAAATGTACAGACTTTGTAGCCGAGCCCACTCGATCAGTCTGTGCCTTCACGTGACCACCATCTGTGCCTCCCTGGCTCCATCCAAATTTGTGTAGGCTGCTCCTTGGAGCCATGCCTAAAATATAGCTACACCAGAGCCCTGGAAACTGTAGTCAAGTAACAGGCCTCACTTTTTTTTTCCTTTGGATTAAAAATATATATGCTCTCTACTTAGTGGTTTCCAGCTTTACACTTCAATGGGTTGTTCAACAGTGAGAACACATTATATACATGTTTTCTATTCATGTCCAGGGCATGAGAATCTTAATATTCTCATACTTCCCTTTTTGCACGCAGTATGTCTGGAATATGTTTATAAATTTTAGCAAAGGGTGAGATCAAGTGACAAGGGTAGAGAGGTTATTTAAAGATAATGAGAAATGAACTTAAAAGCTGCTCTGCAAAACCAATCCTTTCCTATCATGAAGAGAACCCTCGTATTTTCTGGAGATTGTCTCTGAACCATTGCTACAAAGCCATGAATTTCTATAAATCATGTTGGCTCTCAGTTATTACTGTTTTCTGAGAATTCTATCATGTTTTTAGATGTACGTTGTGTATTTAGGATAGCATTAAAAATAACTGATGGCAAATGTATTGACTCACAGTGGAAACATTTGTTTGGATGAAGAATTAGTGGTTTAGCCTTTGAAATGAATACCTTGAATCGTTTCTTCTGATTTTCTAGTACTTTATTATCTCAAATGATTATTATCCCCTTCAAAAATACTGGGCTGTACTTTGGTGTTGTGGTTTTATTTTTCTGGCATTGATTAAATAGCAAACACAAAATAAAGTGTTTCTACATGTTTGAGGGGGTTGTTTTTAAACAGGATATGTGTAATGCAGGTTTTCTTTATTAATAAAATTTTCATAATCTCTGAAAACACTGTGTTTCGATCTGCTTTAAAGTAACTTATTTTACAAATGAACTGGTACACATAAAATCTCTCAGGTAAGTGTTTATTTCAAAATCTGACAAAAACTAATATTCACTGTGACTCCTTTGTTCCAGTGACTGTTTCTGTTTTGGAACTCTGCATCCATCCTAGAAGTCAAGGTTGTAATTGCTCCCAAGGCAAAGAGAGTCTGGCTGGAAAAAGTCTCATAAAATGTACCTGGAATACTGATTCTTACTGTATGTCTACTAATAGTAACTAAAATTTGTCCTGAAGAATGCGATGCACATATACTCAATCATATTCTATATTTTATTGTAAAGAAAAACAGCCTTTTCCATTTCAATTCAGAACTCAAGGACTTCCTCTTACAAACTCTGAGGCAATTTAAATAGTCGATTATACTGTAAAATGCAGTGATTCTTTTTACGTCCTTAGTAAAGGCCAGAACACACAAGCCCAAGACACACTCTCTGATCTAGACTTTCTTTCTTTCTTTTTTATTATACTTTAAGTCCTGGGATACATGTGCAGAACGTGCAGGTTTGTTACATAGGTATACATGTGCCATGGTGGTCTGCTACACCCATCAGCCCATCATCTATATTAGGGATTTCTCATAATGCTATCCCTCCCCTAGCCCCACACTCCCTGACAGGCCCCAGTGTTTGATGTTCCCCTTCCTGTGTCCATGTGTTCTCACTGTTTAACTCTCACTTATGAGTGAGAACATGTGGTGTTTGGTTTTCTGTTTCTGTGTTAGTTTGCTGAGAATGATCGTTTCCAGTTTCATCCATGTCCCTGCAAAGAACATAAATTCATCCTTTTTTATGGCTACATAGTATTCCATGGTGTATATGTGCCACATTTTTCTTATCCAGTCTATCATCGATGGGCATTTGGGTTGGTTCCAAGTCTTTGCCATTGTGAACAGTGCTGCAATGAACATACATGTGCATGTGTCTTTATAGTAGAATGATTTATAATCCTTTGGGTATATACCCAGTAATGGGATTGCTGGATATTTCTGGTTCTAGATCCTTGAGGAATCGCCACATGGTTTTCCACAGTGGATGAACTAATTTACACTACCACCAACAGTGTAAAAGCATTCCTATTTCTCCACATCCTGTCCAGCGTCTGTTACTTCCTGACTTTTTAATGATTGCCATTCTAACTGGTGTGAGATGGTATCTCATTGTGGTTTTGATTTTCATTTCTCTGATGACCAGTGATGATGAGCTTTTTTTTATATGTTTGTTGACTGCATACATTGATAAATGGGATCTAATTAAACTAAAGAGCTTCTGCACAGAAAAAAAGCAAAAACAAAAACTACAATCAGAGTTAACAGGCAACCTACAGAATGAGAGAAAATATTTGCAATCTATCCATCTGACAAAGGGCTAATATCCAGAATCTATAAGGAACTTACACAAATTTACAAGAAAAAACAACTCCATCAAAATTGGACAAAGGAAATGAACAGGCACTTCTCAATGATCTGGACTTTCTATCATTCATGTTAAGGCAGTAGGGACTTGAGTTGTAAGTCTGGCTGCCACTTTGAGCAAGGTGTGACTTTGGGCAAAGCATTCCATCTGTAGTTTCCTCATGTTAAAGTGGAGAAAAATATGACTGCCTCACAGCATCATGGAGAAGGTTAAATGAAACAGCACTTAGCAAAACAACTGGCTCCTAGATGGTGCTTAATACATATTTGATTTCCTCCTGCCTTAGCCCAGTTCCACAGAGCCTGGGACTCTTCTCATTGCTGCAGGCTCCTGTCCCCACATCAAATTAGAAAATGAGCTCTGCTTTGCTGTCCGTGACTTCCTTTTTGTAAACTAGAAACATGAAATGAACCTCAAACAGAAATCCTGTTTTTAAAATAAGATAGCACCAACTTTTGTAGATAGACACATAGCACACAAAATTATGTGTTGGTTGGATCCCTTTGCTTGTTTACACATTTGGATGTTTCTTGAATGAGACTGTCTTCTCTCAATTCTTCTTCCAGGCAGAAGTAGAACTGGAGATATTTCTCCTATGTTTCATATAACTTCTGACTTAATGTAATAGAAGCATGTTTAACCCCAACTTTTAGAAACCAATATTTTGTACATTACCAGTCTACCATATATTAGGTTGTAATGTACAATTCCTCATTTATTTTAAAACCAACAAACAAGTACCTTTGTATGCTCAACCCTACAGGTCACTGATTTTCATTAAGAATTATACAAGGTTTACTTTTGAGCACAGTCAGAAAATACCAAATGGAGCTTCATTCTGTAAGCTGGATATGAAAACATTAACATAAGCCTTCACATTTGTGGCAGATTTAGTTATTGAAATTATACAGCCATTAATTGACATTTTCCCTTGATGGAACCTATCTATCTTAATAGGTCATGATATGTTATTTTATTTTTTACTTACCACATTTATATCTTTTATAAGTCAGCCTTTGTAAAGCATAAGACTAATATTAGATATTATATTTTTTAAAAATCAGAATGTAAGTAAAAATAAAACTAATATATGAGATGCCACTTCAGAGACAACATTCATTATTTCCAGCAAACATTTATTTGTATGTTTATATGCTTACTGATCCCTTCCAAAGCATGAGTACTTAGAGGAAGTTTTTTGTTGTTGTTGTTTGAGGAGGTCATTAGACAGATCCTTTAATCAAAGGGATGGGGGACATACACTCATGTCTACATGAACATTCTATAACATAATATTAAAACATATTACAATAGTAGTATTAAAACACAGATTTTATCTGAGATGTGAAGTCTTCTGTTTAACAAGGCTCTCTGATTGAGGGATGAGGAAGCCTGGAGTCACTTTTGTGGGACATGGGCTGGTCCTTCCTCTCTCACAGGAAAGCCTGCTGGAGAGAAAGGCAGGTCCCTGAATGGGACTCAGACCCACCTGGTGCTGCCAGGAATTGTGGAGGAGACTTAGATGATACCCAATGAGACAACTCAACAAGGAGAAGTCAGTGGGCACTTTAGCTACCCCAAACCTGGAGACTCTAGATGGCACCTCTCTCTGGGCAGGGTGCCTTGTTTACTCTGTTTGATTTCCTGCCCAGAACTTTCCCCCCAGAAATTTTCACTGTGTTGTCTTTGCTTGGCCAGGTGTGATTCTAGAGAGAAGGAGGAGGACTCTCAAGGACCACAAGAGACAGTGGCACTGTGACCAGAGAAGATGAGAGTAATCTTGTGAAATCCACCCACAGGTGGTCTTCTCTTATGTCTTCCTAGGCATGCGTTTATTAGCATGCTGGCTACCCAGGGAGGGCCTGAAAGTGGTGTGCCAGCTATAGTGAATTATCATAAGTGGAGGAAGCAGAGTCTAAAAATCATGTGATTAAAGCTGTCACTAACCTCAATGGATTAGTTTTCATTCTTTCACTCATGTATTCTTACAAAATAATGTCCCCTCCTCAGATAGCTTTACCTGTAAGAGTAGCTTAATTTTTTATTAATTTTTCCCAAGATTGTGACAAAGTGGCAAAAGAATGGCTATAAAATTGCAAAAGGAGAGATAGCTGCTTCACTTTAATATGGGGAAGCTTAGGACTTGGGACATTGAGCTTGGCTATTTAACCAATGGCTGGGAACATGCGCTCAGGCAAATGCAGGGAGAAGCGACATCATGAGTGTACTTAGTGGCTGGACAAGGTGCCCACAAGTGAAAACCTGGATTCCGTTTGGCCTGGCTTGAATTAGAGTAAGAGCAACCCTCCTGGTACAACTCACACCCACACACCAGCAGATTTTAACATTGCTCTAGACACTCCAGGAGAAACGATTAGAAAGGCTCTCTCCACCTGATTTATCTCTCTGTCCCCTCTTCCAGAGACAACTTCCCCCAACCTTATTCCACAGCAAAATCTGCCCCTCCTTCATTTCCTGTCCCATTTCTATGGGACTCCATTAAGATATTATTGACTCAAGTGCTAATGCTGAATACAGAGATTTCTTCATAAATATGGTTTTCATTTTAATAGGCTATTTCTAACAATCAGAAAAACTTTCAGATCCAGAGAAATGTGGCACGCTGCCCAGTCGTCCTTCGAACCCACCATGTAGGTGGCCACCCACTCTGTCTGACCAGAATTATCAGACTTTCAGGGCCTGTGGGACTTGGAGAATGTCGACCATCAGCCCCAGCCCTGGCTGTGGCTCGGGAACCTGTTTGGATCTGTGGCTGAACAGGTTGCTGGTTACAGCTGAGCAAATCTGTGCTCAGACTGGTGGAAGGGAGGTATCCAGAAGAAGTCAGCAGGAAGGGATTTTTCCTCCCATGATTTCAGAGGACATTTTATTGTGGAAGGCAAGATGAGTGAAAGGGAAGAATTCATGCAGAACCTCTTTGCTCCCCGGGCCGGCTCCCTGAGCATTCCTTGTGACAACTCACCGAGGTTGACTGGCTTTGCTCAGACCCCTGGGCTTCTCTATTCATTCCACACAGAATACCCTCCGACATTGGCTGGGTTCACAGTGCTGCACAGAGGAGGACGTGTCAGCCAATCAACAGGAAAGATGCTCATTTCTTGTTGAAAAAGTCCCAGATTGTAACTTAACAGGGTGATCTTTTTTTTTTTTTCTTTGCAGAATGTGTTTTTCCCCTAGAGTCCTTGAGCTCAGACCTGCGGTTTTCTCTCTCTTGGTTTTACAGTCTATCTGCCTCAAGCCAAGAGACTTGGCTCTGCTCCCCCCTGACTCAGAGTCTCGGCTGGTAGCTGAACCCAGGAAGCCCTGGCCCCACGTCTCTCCCTGGAACCACCAGACCACACAGCCTCCTGTGCTCAACCCTTTGGCTGGGTGTCCTGCCTCCTCTTTGTTTGGAAAGAGATGTCTTACGTAACTCCACAACCTACTAAAGGCTCCATTGTCTTCCACTTGGGAGAGCTCAAAATAACCCATTAGTGACTTATGACTTATCACAAAGAGAATCTATTGCCCACA